TTTGGTATTAAATAGTTTTTTAAAATTTGTTGGTAAAATTACTTAAAAAGTATAACAATCAGTCTCAGTCACGTTTGAATTTCATGATGAATCACTGCGTGGCTCGAAACTATTGCCTTTTTGTTTTATAGTTTAAAATTGCTAATGAGTAATATCAAATTTAAACATTTTTTTTTCATCAGAAATTTGTACAAGTCAAGAAGTGTCAGGATATCCCACTTTCAAGTTGTTCAGCAACGGCAAATTCAATAAAGATTTCAGCGGTGCTCGAAGTGTGACCGACTTCACCGATTTCATGATGCAATTAAAATCTTCACACAAACGTGAAGAACTCTGAGGAAAATTGCTTTGATTTTATTCAACATGCTATTGTAGAATACTTTATTTTTGCTTGGAATTAATTTTTACTATTTTCACTGAAGGAATGATTCAGTGAAAATAAAGTCCAATGAATATACCTTTTTTCCTATATTTTACATTCAACTTGTCAAAAATTAGTGAAAATAAATTCCATACAAAACACCAAAAAAGTCTTTTCAGGGAAAATTAATTTCAGCTAAAATAAAGTATTCTACAGTACTTTGAATTTTCCCTCATTGATCTCCCTAGAAATGAGGTGTATATTTCATATATAGGGCGCTTGTCATTATAGAGGGCGCTGTTTGTCATCTGATTTATTGAGGTACACTACTCAGGTTAAAAATTGTAGCATTTTTTTTATACACATAAGGTGAAAGTTGAATAAAAATTGAATGAAAATTAAACGTTTTGCAAGGTCTGAGAAAATGTCTGCAAAATGTTAGCCTGAAATTTTTTTGTTGTATTATTTTGCTGTATTCTTAAAATCTGCAGTATGGTTTTTTGACTCGTATGTTTGTGTTCATCATTCACGTCACCCAACTTGAGTTAATCTAAAGTTTTTTACAAGATTACATCTGATTGGCTACCCAACCCTAACACTGAACAGTCTGACCAATTAGAGAGCAGCTTATTTGTTGACTATCTTTTTTCGATGTAACAAATTGTCTTTTATATGTGCTTTGACTCCATTGCTCTCCCTTTAACGACATTTGCGAACAACCTAAGCAACGAAGTAAATTTTGTTTGAGTATGATCATTGAGGTAGCGTGAATGCAATAAATGTACCTCCAACACTATGCAAGAGTACTGGAGGGTCTTATCCCTTAAACAAACAATGCCCCCTAACTGAGTGTCTGAAGGGTGGTAGCTGTCGCACAGCGAGTTCAAATTCAAAAGTAAACAAACAATGTATTTTGTGTTGTTTTTATGAGTGCCATACTGATCACAGCGCAACGCTACAACCACTCCCCTTTAATTTAGAAAGATTGCTTAAATTAATATTCTGCAGTTAATTTCTCGTTGCAATCTACAATCTACAATGGTGTGCCATGACACTCCAGGCGAAGAACCAGCCAATGTCGCAACAAACATGTGCCGACTGGGCGCACGCGACAATTTTCACTGTGATCACATTCCCCTAATGTCGGTGGATTGTTGAATCCAATCTATTGACAGGGATGGGCCACACCTATCATTCCCATGAATTACGCTCAATTGAAAAGATTACTACAGATCACGAAGTTTGCCAGACGGAAGTCGATTTAAAGTCTTTCTCATTTGCATATTCTATGGGCTGTTCTAATTTGAATACGCAACCAGTTAAAGCGAGAGGGGGGCTTCACCTGCGTATGCGGCAGACGGCCATAGCGTGTTGTTGTTTACAAACATGAGTCTACCCATCAGCCTTTGCATTTTTAGCGTGCATTGTTATTGTCGCTTGGGACATATTTCCCATGCATGCACAGGTGACGACCCCTCCGCTTTAACATTTGATAGTGTTGTATCAATCAGGATGGTATCTCAGATTTTTGTGAACGTAACTAAAACATAACAATTTTATTATCTGTGGGGAACAGTATATGAATATAACAATGAACAATTACAACAATAACAAATCAAGAAGTAACATCTAACCCAATACTGACATTATGATGTACTAAAAAATTGACTTTTATCAAAGATTTCTGATATTTCGGTCTTCAATTTGTGAATGTTCGAAAACGATTCTTTTCCTTGTGCATCATTCAAAAGTATTTAAAGGGCCGTGGACGTCGCGCCGCGTCCTGTTCGATATGGGACTCATAGCGACGTATACAACGCGTGTAAAATACATTGTTTATTTACATGAAATTTGAAAACGCGCTGCGCGACCACCACAGCGCTTTAATGTCTGATTAGTGTACCTCCATACAAGATGACCCACTTCTCAATATCCTGAATCTCCATGGCGATGATCTGTAAATTTTGGGACGAGTGGAGATAAGATTTTGATGTTTTTTTCACATGAGAGAGTGAGTATTTTGTAAGACAGTCTCTCATTGGCTGCCAGCTTATAACACTTATCCATCTAGCCAATCAGAGAACTATATATAAAATGCAGCACCTCAAATCGTAAAAAAACTGGAGGGCACTGTAAACCATTTAATTTCGCTATAAATTTTTATGATTTTCACCGACTCACGAAAATTTGTCTCTTGCGAAAGTTACTTGGTTTACAATTTATTCTGTCAATAATGTAATTCAAATATGCACAACTTTTGTTATATCTTGATTAGTGCGCCCTCTACAGGACTGATTTGGAACCAAACCGGACTCGCAAGTCAGCTCGTTCAATCAAGTTTAGATGACCTCTGACGATGCAATTAAAATGTCTTAGCCCATTATTTCTTTAGTTTTCAAAGTTATGTTTATAAAATTTGAATTTTCTTTTAACCAAATTGCAAATTCCTCATTTGTTGTAACATATTTTTTACGGTTACTTTTTCCATAGACTACTTTCCTGGAAGTGACCAAACTGGGGTGCATAATTACATGCGAGTTTTCTGATGGTCGATAGAAGAGAATTTATTTTTGTGATGTCGATTGGTACGCCCAGAAGCACGATATCATGCATGCAAGTTTACATTACACCCCAAAACTGCATGCGCGTGCATGCAAAACGCTGTATCTTTGACTTCCAGGAAATTCGTCTATGTGTGATTTCTTTTCCATTGAGTTACTAACAAACAAATGTGTATGCTCCTTGTATTATTCAAAATGTCTGTGCGTCAGTGATGGGTCATATTGATCCTAATATTATTAGAAATTGTTTTATTTGATGAACATGTCTGCAGAATTCTCCATCTTGTCATTCCCATGATGCAAAGTGTGAAAATATGGAAGGTACTGACAATTATGACTCCCTGATCATTATAGAGGGCGCTATATCATGAATACATTTTTCATGTAGAGGGCGCTGTATTAATTTCACCTTTCTCAGAGAGCCCTTACAAGAATGTATTTAATTACTGTAAAACACTTTATTTTAGTTGAAATTAATTTTTGCTGAAAAGACTTTTTGGGTGTTTTCTATGGAATGTATTTTCACTGATTTGTTGTTGAGTTGGATGTAACATATAGGAGAAAGGGTATATTCGTTGTATTTTATTTTCACTGAATCATTCCTTCAGCGAAAATAGCAAAAGTTAATTCCAAGCGAAATTAAAGTATTTACAGTATTTTTTGTATAGAGGGCACCCTTTCTGTCATAGAGGGCAGTCTTTAAATTATGTCTATATAATGATTTTCATAGCCATCTTTTAGATCACAGAAACTCACTCAGATTAATCTTCATAAATAACATTATTAATAATAATGCAATTCACTTGATATGCAAATAACTAAAAAAACTATGTTGTGTTGTCTATTTTCTTAAATTTTCCTTCTACAAAATTTGCAACTTTCACTGATTTGTAAGAATTTGTCCCGCATGAAATCAAATCTGTTGATAGTAATCATCAAAAATTATTCAAGAAATATATTGCTGTCAACATTCTTACCCAAATATGAACAATTTTTATTATGTTTTGACTAGTGCGCCCTCTACAGGACTGATTTGGAATCAGCTTGTTGACACAAAAAAATCATCAATGACACGAACAACTTATTCAGTGTCGTTTTCATGAATAACATTAGTGATAATAATGCACAGTATATTTGTTGTTATTTATTTTCTCCAATGAGAGTGGCATTTATGAAAATATCCACCCCCACATTGTATTTTACCAACTCGCCCAGCCCAAGTAGCGGCACCCTAATACAACATTCTTTGGTTTTTCTGACTAGAATCTTGTCTGTAAGACTTTTCTCATGAAAATTTTTGTCAGCAAGCAAAAAAAGATTGGAATAGATGAGCGATTTTATTTTCCTTTTTTTGGCAAAAAGTTTAAAACATCAAGAACATACTGCAACATTAACGCAAATAAAACGAAGATTTGGAAGGTACCAAGCAGGTCTGATGTGTGATGTCACTTCTGTGGAATGAATGCCAAAATCACAAGAGGCTGCTTTGGATTGCTAC